AGTTTGTATTCAACAGAATATGACTAGTTTGACTCAAAGAAATACAAATACTGTAAGTGAAGAACTGGCTCTTCAGATGTGGCAGGTTCTTACCCTGGAGTGGCTGCAAGGTCTACCATTACTCATAACTGCATGCCCTATGGGATTTGGGGCCAAGAGGAGCTCGGCATGCTGGGAAAAGAGAGGACAACAAGGATAATCTCACTGTGCCCTCTGAAAATAAAATTGAACCTAATTTTCATACCATTTCCTAGTAAATTGTTCAAAGTTAAAATCTATTTTAGAAGCCCTATTACCCAGCTACATATGTAGACTGATGGCAAAGGCATATAAAACAGGAACAATACCAAATCAAAAACAAATACTTTGTCAAAATAAAGTTATAGATTTTAAATTATGAGTTATTATAGAATGTAATTTATGCTTGCCTGATGTTAATATTTAGAACTTTTTATTAGCTAAGTTATTGATAAAATTTTATACATTTTAATGTGTAATAATTCCATTTAGTATTTAATATTTAGTATCCTACCCAGGAGCCTCCTGGTCTATGTTAAATACTTGTATAAAACTCATGTTTATGTAAAGATAAAGAGAGATATAATGGATACTATTTAGCAACCATTATCATCTGCTAAATTATTTTTTGTTTCTCTATCATCTTTCAACAGTATATCTTGATCTCCATTAAAAAATAAAGGTTAACGCCTTCTACCCTTTCTTCTACATATCCTTTCACACTTCAACTTCTCAACTTTTAGTGTTAAGTATTTTATCAAGATTGCATCCAACAGTGCTAAGCAATTTAAATAAGATTACATAACTAATGAATGTTACAGTGCAGGTTTAAAATCCTTATTTTGCTAAAGCACATGGTATGGAAAAAAATTGCAACTAATCCCTTATTCATTGGTCAGATATTTTGAGATCCTTTAAAAAATGACAACTTTCCCAGTTTTTCCCACTTTGACCATAACTGTTCCCTAGTTTGTACACAAATGGAACAGTGACTTCATGTACTTGAGATTAACTTATTTACTTACTATCAGGGGTCAGTAAGGCTAACAGAATAGTCTAAGATTAAAAAATAACTTTCTCAAATTAACAACCGAAGCACCTGAAACCAGAAGAGAAAACTAATCTCAGGGAAAAAAAAAAAAAAAAAAAAGGCGTAAAGCTAACAAAAATTGTGCTTAGGAAGGAAATTACAGTAATTTGTTGAAAGCCAATATATCATAATAACAATTACTCAATATTATAACAATGTCAACTAGAAATGTGAATTATCCTCAGATAACTTATAAGTTTAATTCACTTGTGAGTTATTAAAACGTGCAAACTAGAATAATTATAAGAGTGAAGTAGTATCAAACAAGACAGAAATATGAACGGAACAGAACAACTTACAAGAAATGCACATATATTTTACTAATTATTATTATTACTTTTTAAAGAAAGGCAATTCAATCAGCATAGGAAAAATGTGCTGTTGATCAAATATTACTGGGATAAATGCCTTAGGGAATGGAAGAAAGGTACTCTATTCTTAACCAAACCATGCATCATCATAACTGGACTGGAGTTAATTGTGAAGAAATGAGAACAAAATGAAAACATAAATATAGGCAAAAAGAATGTTTATATAATTCTGTGGTGGAAAAGGCCTTTTAATACCTAACTTTGAAATTAAAAACAATAAAGGAAAAGGCTGTTATATGAGACTACATAAAAATACAGTTCTAAACATTTCATAAAATACAATAAACATAATTAAAGTATAAAACAGGGACAAGATTTGGGTATAGAATAAAAAGCTGACATTACTTAAAAAAATTATCTTGCTAATAAACAAGAAAAAGATGAAGAGACCAAAAGAAAAATCAGCAAAGAGCATGGTGAGAGATTTAAAATGGAAAAAAAGACAGCTCAGAGTACAGAGAAAATAAGATTTTGTATACAGCTGCTTGCAATAATTTTGCAACATATACATAGCCTTAAAACACACACAGACTTTAACTACCAATTCTACTTCTGGAAATACATCTCAAGGAGATACCCAAAGACGTGTACAATTATTCATTCACATATATCAGCAAATAAATAAATGATAAACAACTAAATGTATCGTAACTGTAGAGAGCTTATATAATCACAAAAATTTTAAGTAAAACAAAGCAGGTTAAGCACCTTAGACACAGTATGATCTCACTTTTTTGTGAAAAAATGATTAGGTATGTATAAAATATACTGTAATACTACTACTAAATGTGGCCTTTAAATGGTAGGACTACGGAGGATTTTGAGCTGTTAATTTTATCTGTATATTCTGACTTTGCTATAATTAATTATATTACTTACATACTTTAGAAGTTATTTTATAAGAAAACAAGACCATATTTTGTTTTCCCTAGTTTATATTCTGATATCCCCTCAAATGTTATCAAAGAATACCATAAAATACAATGTTAGAAAATCTGATACTGCATTTGAGGATTTTTTGAGGACATTGCCTACTCCACATTTCAATATACCCTAAAAAATTCCTTTTAAAGTGCCAGAAAAACCTTTGCTTACTCTTAGGAAATGCTGTTTCTTTTCATAAATCATGAGAATCATTTAATTGTGTACTATGTTTATTTTTCCTTAGCCAGAATATTTAAAACCAAATACTTCATCTAATTACAGTTACAATGTAGGGCCATATGGCTTATTTTATCAGCCCATCTACCCTCATCTGGTCTTTATATTCCATGTCAATTAATAAATTCCCTTGTCTTGCTATTTAATTGATTTTATTTTTTAAAACACCTCAAAATCCTTTTGATGTAGGCTATAAATAATTAAATAGGATATCCCCATTGTTATTGTCAGCCTCTAAATTACAGTACACAATGAAATACTTATTCCAGTACAATATGTATTTCCAATATGATTTATTTTAAAAGAATAATAAAAGGAAGTATGGCATTGTTGTTTTGATAAATGAATCATGACAGACTTGAATCACTATTGCTCTAAGACATCGAGGAAAGCAATTTTAAAATAACTATCAGTATTAAGTTAGATCATGTAAGGTAGGGACAACATTTGTCTAAATCACTATGTCCACAGTCTAGGTGCTTCCTATTAAAAGAGGTTTTTAGTAAATGCTCTCTTGCATAGACAGAGATAACACTGAGAAAGAGGTGTCACGGGTGCCTCTACTTTTTTCACTCCAAAGGACTCAGCAAGGGATCTGATGCTAGGAAAGAACCCCTTTTTCCCACTTCAATATAAGCCAGGAATGAGGAACCTCCAGTAAGCGCCTGCCCTCTCATGGAACTGCTTCCTTCTCTCTCCATCCCTTACTTGATCTTCCCAGTGAAAGGAAGAGTAGTCTGCCTGCTGAGATTGATGTCAGCTTGACGTCCCTGACCTCGTTTCTTTATTGGGAAGAGTCACTTATGCTTGACATGCCCCTTTGTCTCCAGGTTTGTCTAAACTCAGTTCAGTGATTCTGTGCTCTAGTCTACATGCCCTTAGCAGACCAAAGAGGCATATCTTTACTTTCTCTTCATTATTTGATTACTGAAACTTAAACCAGATTTTCAGGTCTTCATGCAGCTGTTGGGAAGACACTCAAAGTTTATCTTTGTATTCCTATTCTCACTTCCTGGTGGGTCCTTGGATTTTCTTTTAGGGAAGAAAAATGTGCTCTGTGTTTTTCTCACTCAGTTTACTATTTTTTTTCTTAAAAAAAAAAATCTATCCCCATTATACCCTCTTCCACTCCTACCCCCCTCCCCAGAAATCACCACATTGTTGACCGTGTCCATAAGTCCTTTTTCTTTTTTGCTCGATCCCTCCACCCACCCAGAGCTGTCAGCCTGCTCTCTACCTGAGAGTCTGTCTCTCTTTTGCTTATTAGTTCAGTTTGCTTATTAGATTGCACATATGAGTGAAATTATATAGTATTTTTCTTCCTCTGACTGGCTTATTTCAATTAGCCTAACGTTCTCCAGGTCCACCCATGCTGTTGCAAAGGGTAAAATTTTCTTTTTTTATGGCCTCTTAGTATTCCATTGTGTAAATGTACTGCAGTTGTTTTATCCACTCATCTACTGATGGACACTTGGGCTGCTTCCAAATCTTGGCAATTGTGAACAATGCTGCGTTGAACACAGGGGTGCTTATATTCTTGTGAACTAATGTGTTTCAGGTTTCTTCGCATAAATTCCCATGTACTTTGACTGGCATTAAATTTTCTGTGGTTGAGGTGAGAATGTGGAGACAGTAATTTTTTTCTCTAAGATTCAGCACACTGTAGTGTACTCAGTATTACTAACACTAGCTCTGCTCACCTCTATCATTCTTCCCTTTTTTCTCAGCAGTTCTCTATGTCCCAAATTCATTAGCTTTTCCTCTCTTCATTAGTATGTTTTAAATACTGTGTTATACTCCACCTTTGCATGATAATCACATAAAGAAATCCTTGCTCCAATTTTACTTTCTTCTCATTCAAGAGGAAAGACTTTAACAACTATAAGTAGGTTGAAAAGATTTGGAGTGTGGGGGAAGACATAATAGTCTTTCTTAGATATTTACAGATATATTTTCTGAGACTCCACAGAAATAACAATGATCAAAGAATGAGTAGTAGTGGAAGGCAGATATGAGCAATAAACAATCAACATGGCTGCTTTAAATTTTAATGGAATATCCTTGACAATGGAGAAGTACAAGTAAAGACTAAATGACAACTACTTATGATGTTTTTAGAAGAGGCCCCCAGCATAGAGTAAGGGATTAGATAGGAGAACGTATTCTTACTTATGATTTTATGATTTTAACGCATTTCTATGAGTCAGGCAAGCACTGTTGTATAAACTGGAGAGTAACAAATTATGCTGTATATGATTTTCAATAACTTTCTCATGATAATTTATAAAATACCTTTAGACCTGGAACAAAGAGGTAGTCAGAAGAATCAGGCAATCATGTTAATGAAAGGGAACAGTTACCTGTCTGGAAAAAGACTCTGGAAATAATTGTCCGACACAGTGGGCAGGGAGTGCTTGCAGGGTTGTCTTTGGCAAGAGTCCGTAAGCAGGGCTCACAGAAGATGTGGTGGCAAGGGTAGCACATGTACGGGTTGAAATAAACATCCAGACACACTGCACAAATATAGCTTTCCTTTTCTTCTACATATTCATTTTCATCATCTGTACTCATATCATTAGTCAAAGTCTGCAAAACATAAGCAAAACCAATTGTTCTTAGTTCAGTATGAGATTAGTTTCCTTGATAAGAAAGGCTGACTTTTGTCAATTAACCAATGTCACCTCAATAAATTAACAAAAAATAAGAGACTAACTTTATAATTTTGTTAAAATGAAAATATTTATGAAAAGAACAGAATATCTGTTTCTGTGACATTTTAACAGAGAGAAATACTACCTTGCAAAGTGAGGAAAAAAATGAAAACATACATGAAAAAACTCAGAAGTCTTATTCTTTGTGTATAATGCTAAATGCTAAAATATACCTAAGCACATTAATCATACCTGTATCTCTCTTTAACCAGCACTAGTTAAGTGTTAGGTACACCGGTTCCAGGATGACAGATTTCCCCATGTGTCTCATTCCCACCACAGCAAATAAACTGTCACAAGGTTATGAGGCCTTAAGTGGGCATCCACACTTGATGAAGAGCGAAGACAATAGGATATCCTACTTCATCTTTATATCATGCATGGAGTGTTTTCTATTCTATACTTTGCATCTTCCTGGACCTCAAAGCCAAGAAAAGACCAAAGTCTAAGGTATGTCAGGAAGTAGACAAAGCAAAGAAACTTGCAGTAATTCCGGGATCAGTCATGCAGCTGGGAAATAGGATGATGTGTCACCCCCTCCTCCCATGGGACACTGAGAAAGAAGCTTAAGAGGTAGTCATGAAAGAGGTAGCTCAGAGGTTAAGAGCACAAGGTTTGGTAGCAGAATTCCAGTTACTTACTTAATCTCACAATTTCCTCATCTGTGAAAATGTTGTGAGGATGAAATGAGGTAATCCACTTAAAGTGGCAATATGTATTTCCAATATGCCAGAAAAACTTTCGCTTAGGTATAGTGCCTGGCACATAGTAAATATTCAATAAATGTTAGCCTCAGCCACCTCTTCTTTTCTCCCCCATGCCCTTTGCCCAAGCCATCTTTCCAGGCCTTGTAGTTTTCATTAGAACCTTGAGAAACATATAAAACCAGACCTGGATTCAATCCACTGACACGTAACGGGAATCTACACTTTGACATTTGGGAAAAGTGGAGATCAATGATTAACTTTTGAGTGGGCCTTGGGTTTAATAAATATTTGTAAGTTTCATGAAATGTAAAAGTTATATAAATGAGGTCAACAGAGCCTTGAAAATACAGAACAACCTATCTACTGGATACACTATTATTTGATTTATCCAGATGGCTCTTCTTCCCTTTGGCCAGTCTCTTTCTGCCCCTTCTTGGTAGTTTCTTTCATGAAGGCCATACTTGAAGATTTGGTCCATTTATTTTTAATTGGGTTGTCTGATTTTTCTCATAGGCTTGTAGGTGTTTTTACTACAGTTATTTTTTATGGGTTAGATGTGTTACAAGTTATTTTTTCCTTCTTTTTGGGTTTGCCTTTTCACTCTTTTTGTTGTGTCTTTTGGTGAAATAAAGTTCTTAATATCAAAGAACATTTTCCCTTTATGGTTAGCACTTTTTGTGGTTTATTTAAGAACTCTTATCCTTTCCCAAGGTCATTAAAATACCATTATTTTACATTTCATAATATTTCATAACCGTATAATCTGCCTGAAATTTATTTTCATGTATGCTGTACTTCAGGGGTAAATTTAATTTTTATACCTGACGCCATTGGTACAGCCTGGTTACCGCAAAGATTTTCCTTTTGTCCACTGCTCTGCAGTGCCATGTTACTAACAAAAAGGCCAAATATGTCTGGGTCAGCCTCTAAGGCTTTATTTTATTCCATTAGTTTACTGTCTATTCCTATGCCATAATAAGAATCTCTTACTGAGCTTTATAATAAACCTCAATATATGATAAAAGAAGTTCTTTCATATTATCGTTATTCTTTAAGAGTGTCTTTGCTATTCCTGGCCTTTTTCATGACCATATAAAATTTGGAATTACCTTAACAAGTTCTTTTTCTAAAAGTCAGAATTTTTATTGAAACTATTAGATCTGTAGATAAACGTAGGAAGAGTTAGAAATCTTTAAAATCAGACCCAGAATAACCAAAATAACCTTGAAAATTAAGAATAAAGTTGGAGGACTCATACTTTCTGATTTTAAAACTTACAGCAAAGTTTTATAATCAAAAAGACTACATGTCACTGGTCTGAGGAGAGACATACACATCAATGCAATAGAATTGGGAGTCCAGAAATAAACCCTTATATTTAAAGTCACTCGATTTTCTACAAGGATGCTGAGACAATTCAAAAAGGCAAGAGGAATATTTTTTAGAACTAATGCCAACATTCCAAAATTGTAGGGATGGTTGAACAATTCTGTAACATTACTAAAAACCATTTGATTATACACTTAAAATGTTGGTGAATATTTTGGTATGCAAATTTTTCCTTAATAAAGATGCTTAAAAAATCAACTGAATAACAAAAAAATCCTTAAAAATACGATTTTAAAATACATGATCTTGGTTTGTCTTTCCATTTATTAAAAATTTTCAAAAATTATCTTGGTAGAGTTCTGTTTATATTTGAATGAATATTTTGTCCCCACTTTTATTAATTCCTATTAGTATACCTGACATAGTCTAATATCTTTCTCATCAGAACAAAACAAACCAAAAAGAAACCGGCAAACCACTTCAGTTCATGTTACATTCCTCTATTCTCTTTCATGACAAAACTTCACAGGAGAACTAATCACAGTACGTGTGATTTCTGCTTTCTCACCTCCTGTCTACTTAATTCTAATTTGGCTTCTGCTCCCAGTGTTCTGCTGAAACTGTTCTTGCACAAGTCACCAAAACTGCTGTACAGCGAAGTCCAGGATGCTCTTCTGACCTATCTTCCTCAGCCTTTCAGTAGCATTACCTGAGTAGACCAGGACCTCTTTCTTGCAACCTACTTAATGCCTTTGTTTTAGGTTTGGAATAAATAAAGTAAAACAATAATTAACTACCTTCCAAAAGAAAAAGCACCAGGCCCAAATGTGTTCACTGGTAAATTCTACCAAACATTTTAAGAAGAAATTATACCAGTTCTCTACAAATCTCTTTGAGAAGACAAATTAAAAGGAATACTTTCTAACTCATTTTATGACGCTAGCATTAACTTACTACCAAAGCCAGACCCAAAGAAACTTAGAATAAAAGGAAACTACAGATCAATATCCCCCGTAACTGCAAAAATTATAAACAAAATATTAATAAATTAAATACAACAATGCATAAAAACAATTATACACCAGGAGCAAGTGCATTTTACTAAGTGAAAGAAGCCAATTTAAAAGGCTACGTATTCTGGTTTCAGTGGTATGACATTCTGGAAAAAGCAAATCTATAGAGACAGTAAAAGTATCAGTGGTTGCCAGGGTTGGGGGGCAGAAGGGATGGACAGGCAGAGCACAGAGAGGTTTTTAGGGTGGTAAATCTATTCTGTAGGACACTATAATGGTGGATACATATCATGCTGTTTGATAGCATTTTTACCCACAGGAATTCTTTCAAAATTGGAGTCATTTTTCTTGAACTCTGCCACTGCTTTATCAAATAAGTTTATATAATATTCTAAATCCTTTGTTGTCATTTTAACAATCAACAATCAAAGGGCTAGATATGAAAAACAGGGAGTGGCAGTAAAGGTTCCACTGCAGCACAGTGATGACAGCCACAGCCTTTCCAGGATCCTGCGTGTTTGTTGTAATCCTCTAGATTTAAAGACAGGGCAAAGTAAAAGGATCTAACACTCCGGAGGAAGGGAGCAGATGGTTACAAGGTTATTAATGTACCAGTTAAGTGAACCACAGCTCCAGTCCAAGTGGAATCATGAACAGAAGTAAAGCCACAGGCTGGACCAGCTCAATAGAGGGCACAGGCCACAGGTGGTAGCAGGACAATTTCTGACCAGTCTGCTGGTACCTCAAAGTTAACGAGCATCAGTAGGACTGGTTCAGGTGCAATGTGAAACTAAGCTGGGCAAAGCTGGGGCAGGCAATGATCTGCATTGCCTATGTTTACACTAAATAGGATTCCAAAGCAAAAAAGCCTAGTTACCTATAAGAGGTCTGTCTGGAAAAAGTCTAGCCATTGTTAATATAACAAGAACAGTCTGCGAGACATTGATGTAATGTGGCAGTTGAAGATAGTGAACTAGAATACACATGTATGAACAATGATTTCACTGAACTAGTCAGTGGGGACAGTAGACGCTGCTGAGTGGGCATGTGTACAGTGTAGCCGTCACATTCAAAATGACTGACTGGGTAGAGCAACAAATCTGAATCAGATTTTGCACTAAGCTTGAACATTCCTTTGTGGAAGCTTCAGAAGGCTGTAACTATGGGCAACTGGTGTTTGGCAGCTTCATCATGACAACGCACCTGCTCATGAATCACGTCTCGTGCAGTTTTTTGGTAAAACATCAAATCACCCAGGTGACTCAGCCCCCCTACAGCCCATATTTGGCACCTTGAGACTTTTGGATTTTCCCAAAACTAAAATCACTTGTGAAAGGGCAGCGATTTCAGACCATTGATGAGATTCAGGAAAATATGGGGCAGCTGATGGTGATTGGGAGACCAGTGTACTTCCCAAGGTGCCTGCTTATAAAGGAACTGAGGCATCATTTTCCTATGTACAATGTTTCTTGTATCTTCTTCAATAAACTTCTCTATTTCTCATAGTACATGGCTGGATACCTTCTGGACAGACCTTGTATATTTGGTTGTGATTTAAACATTTCTGAAATTGATACATAATTTTAACCAAATATGTGTCTTTCATTTGAAAATCTTCCCACCTCTCCCCAAAGACTTTACTGATTAAATTGACTGTCAATCCATGGTGTCTTAAAAATTCAGGAAATATGGCAAATTTTCCTCTAAAAGAATAAACAGCTAGCTAACATGCAACAACATTTATTTAGTACTTTATTTGTGCAACACATAGTGCTAAGTGCTTTTATATAGAATATCAAATTTGATTCTTGTAACAACTATTATAT